AAGACATACTTACAAAGATAGATAGATAGATAGATAGATAGGAATTAAAAAATGTTTAGATAGATAGATATGAATAAAAGACATACTTACAAAGAGATAGATAGATAGAATAGATGTTTAGAAAGATAGATAGAAAGATAGAAAATGATTTAGATAGATAGATAGATAGATGAATAAAGAAAAGACATACTTACAAAGATAGATAGATAGATATGAATAAAAATGTTTAGATAGATAGATGAATAAAAAATATTTTAGATAGATAGATAGGAATTAAAAATGTTTAGAAGATAGATATAATAAAAAGACATACTATAGATAGATAGATAGATAGATAGATAGGAATTAAAAAAATGTTTAGATAGATAGATATGAATAAAAGACATACTTACATAGATAGATAGATAGATAGATAGATAAAAAGATAGATAGAATAATTAAAAAAGATGTTTAGATAGATAGATATGAATAAAAGACATATAGATACAAAGATAGATAGATAGATAGATAGATAGATAAATTAAAAATGTTTAGATAGATAGATATGAATAAAAAAAACAAACAAAGATAGATAGATAGATATAGAAGATAAAAAAAAAAATGTTTAGATAGATAGATATGAATAAAAGACATACTTACAAAGATAGATAGATAGATAGATAGATAGAATAGAAAATTAAAAAATGTTTAGATAGATAGATATATAAAATATAAATAGATAGATAGATAGATAGAAAAATAGATAGATAGATAGATAGATAGATAAAGACAGATAAAAAAAAATGTTAGATAGATAGATAGATACTGAATAAAAATAGATAGGAATTAAAAAATGATAGATAGATATGAATAAAAAAAGATAGGATAGATAGATAGATAGATAGATAGATAGATAGGAAAAAAAATGTTTAGATAGATAGATATGAATAAAAGACATACTTACAAAGATAGATAGATATAGATAGATAGATAGATAGATAGATAGGAATTAAAAAAAATGTTTAGATAGATAGATATGAATAAAAACATACTTACAAAGATAGATAGATAGATAGATAGATAGATAGGAATTAAAAAATGTTTAGATAGATAGATAGAATAAAAGACATGAATACAAAGATAGATAGATAGATAGATAGATAGATAAAAAAATGATAGATAGATAGAATAAAAGATAGGATAGATTAAAAATGTTTAGAAATAGTTTAGATAGATAGAATAAAAAGACATACTAAAAAGATAGATAGATAGATAGATAGATAGATAGGAATTAAAAATGTTTAGATAGATAGATAGATAAAAAGACATACTTACAAAGATAGATAGATAGATAGATAGATAGATAGATAGATAGATTAAAAAGAATTAAAAATGTTTAGATAGATAGATAAAAAATGAATAAAAAAAAGACATACTTAAAAGATAGATAGATAGATAGATAGATAGAATTAAAAATGTTTAGATAGATAGATATGAATAAAAGACATACTAAAAACATAGATAAAGATAGATAGATAGATAGATAGAATTAAAAATGTTTAGATAGATAGATAAATAAAAGATTAGATAGATAGATAGATAGATAGATAGGAATTAAAAAAAGATAGATAGATATGAATAAAAAGACATAGATAAAGATAGATAGATAGATAGATAGATAGATAGGAATTAAAAAATGTTTAGATAGATAGAATAAAAGATACTTACAAAGATAGATAGATAGATAGATAGGAATTAAAAAGATATGAAAAAAAAGATATATAGATAGATAGATAGATAGATAGATATAAAATGTTTAGATAGATAGATATGAATAAAAAGATAGATAGATAGATAGATAGATAGATAGATAGATAGATAGGAATTAAAAAATGTTTAGATAGATAGATATGAATAAAAGACATACTTACAAAGATAGATAGATAGATAGATAGATAGAAGACCAAAAAAAATTTAGATAGATAGATATGAATAAAAAGACATACTTACAAAGATAGATAGATAGATAGATATAGATAGAATTAAAAATGTTTAGATAGATAGATATGAATAAAAGACATACTTACAAATAGATAGATAGATAGATAGATAGATAGATAGATAGATATGAATTAAAAATAGATGATTTAGATAGATAGATAGATGAATGAAAAAAGACATACTTACAAAGATAGATAGATAGATAGATAATGATAGATAGATAGATATGAATTAAAAAATGTTTAGATAGATAGATAGATAATAAAAAATTAAATAATGTTTAGATAGATAGATAAATAGATAGATAGATAGGAATTAAAAAATGTTTAGATAGATAGATATGAATAAAAAGACATACTTACAAAGATAGATATAGATAGATGAGATAGATAGATAGATATGAATTAAAAATGTTTAGATAGATAGATATGAATAAAAAGACATACTTACAAAGATAGATAGATAGATAGATTAAAAATGTTTAGATATGGATAAAATGTAAGACATACTTACATTATAGATAGATAGATAGATAGATTGGAATTAAAAAATGTTAGATAGATAGATATGAATAAAAAGACATATAGATAGATAGATAGATAGATAGATAGATAGATAGATAGATTAAAAAAATGTTTATATAGATAGATAAAAGACATAAAAAAGATAGATAGATAGATAGGAATTAAAAAATGATAGATAGATATTAAAAGACATACAAAATAGATAGATAGATAGATAGATAGAAATTAAAAAATGTTTAGATAGATAGATAGATATATTAATAGATAGATAGATAGATAGATAGATAGATAGATATTAAAAAATGAGAAAGATAGAAGATAGATAGAGAAAAAATGTTTAGATAAATAGATATGAAATTAAAAGATAGATAGATAGATAGATAGATAGATAGATGGGAATTAAAAAATGTTTAGATAGATAGATAGATAGATATTACAAAGATAGATAGAAGATAGATCAATAAAAAATGTTTAGACAAAGATAGATAAAAATTAAGATAGATAGATAGATAGATAAATAGGAATTAAAAAATGTTTAGATAGATAAATATGAATAAAAGACATTAGATAGATAGATAGATAGATAAAAAGATATATAGATATGATAGATAGATAGATAGATAGATAGATATTAAAAAATTTTAGATAGATAGATGAATAAAAGACATACT